TCTGAGTTTTTATGAGACATTTGGTTATACATATTCAGTTAGAATTTTATTCAAGTTGCAATGTTTTGTATTTTATTGGGAGTAGATGGGTCTCTTTCAGAGGTGGGATTCAGCAGGTTATGACCAAAACCGGTAGTAAAAAAATTTGAATCCCACCACTGGTTTTTTTTGCCAGAAATCTCTTTCTGTTTTGCCTGAAAGGCAAAATTGGAGGTTACTTGTATCATTGCCAAATCTGTGTCAAGAGATTAAGTCAAATATAAAAATAAAGAATTGGGTATTTTAAACCTTGGTACCTATTGCTTCATGCTGTCATGTTTGTTCATTTCAGCATATATCTTGTTGTAAATTTCAACAATGCCCTTGACCTACAGAAGCTTTTCTGTTATGATTATTTCCTTTTTTAATCTTCTATACAGATAAGGTACCCACAGCCACATAACTAGTGATGAAATTGATGGCATACAATTGGATTAGATAATATATAACCGGGGTGTCAAACTCTATTTCACTGAGGGCCGCATCAGGGTTGAGCTGTGGTAAGTGTGGCCATAGGGGGTGTGACCTGCTTGATGTCGGGGGCGCCTGTGGCAGTCCGAGTGCTCTGCCAGTGAAAACAGGCTCCCGAGCTCTGTTTTTGCTGGCAGAGGGTTGCAGAGGCTGTTGAAGCCAGAAATGGAGCTCGGAGCCTATTTTTGCTGGCAGAGGCACTCCCTCACTGTTTCCAGGGTGGCCCCGCAGGCCAGATCTAAGGACCAGATCCAGCCTTGAATTTGACTGATATAGATGATTGATGGATAGATAGATGGATGGATGGATGGATGGATGGATGGATGGATGGATGGATGGATGGATAGATAAATAGATGGATAGATTAAGGAAAACCTCCAAAATGTAGTTTTCCCCCCAGTATCTGAATGTTATTTACATTGACATCTGCATGTTATAAGAAAGATGGCACTGTTTTAAACTTACACTATTTAAAAATCATATTGCAAATTAATTTAAATAAAAGTAATTTGAAAATAACATTCAGTAAATTAGTGTGAGTAACATCCATGTACTCAGAAATTGTGATCTCTTTAAAGTAAGTAGGGTCCACAGGGTCCCTCAGCTAACATAGTGGATCCAAGTTCCATGATGATTTGTGAGGCTGAGGGTTGGAGATGCTTTATGCTTCTTTGAAAGGAAGGTAATTAATCTTGAAAGTAGCAGTGATTATCATCCAGCCTTCCATTCTTGGGGAAGCTATTGGAAAAAGTGGTGAGACCTCAGTATCAGAGAGTCCTTGCATTTTCTGATTTTTACAGCTGGATTTCAGGTAAAGTTGAAATAGTATTAATCTCTCTGATGGGGACTGGTTGAAAATGTACACACCTCTGAGCCCTATTAGGATCTACCTTTGTAGATTTTGATACTGATACCCTTCTGAAGAATTTTGGATTGGAGGAACTGTTTGTTCTGGTTTTGCTGCTTTTGTAATGGGCAATTTCAGCCACTGCGATGATGGTAAATGAAGAATAGCTGATTTGATCTGATAGCTGCTCCAGTATAGGATATTGCGGGGCTCAGACGTCTTCATGCCACACAATCATTTGTAGAATGCAGTCAATTATCAGTAGGCTGTTAGCAAATAATATAGTATCTATCATCCCAGGCTGAGCTGCATGGGAATATTTGTGGAAATCTGACTCACTGTCTCGATGATCAAAACAAACTCAGACTGGATCCTTATAGGACAGCAATTTTATTTACCAGTGACAAATCTGACTCTAGTTTTAGCTCACTCCTCTAAAGATGCAGATCCATAATTTGGAGCGTCATTTTTGCAGTTTCTGTTGGAGAAGCAGGTAGAAAATGTGACCAAGAGGAACATCACCCAGCAACAGCTGGTGACTATTTGCAGGACTATCTGCATGAGGATAGTCCTGACCACAGTTAACTCATGCCTTGTCACCTCTCAGTGGAATTATCACAACATGATCTATGTTGGGCTGCCTTTGAAGACAATGAAAGTTTCAATTGGTCCAAAGCACAAAACTCCATCTGCTGGTTTGAAGCAGCAAATTTAGCTACTTTTACATTATTAGTATACTGGTGAGTGATTTGTTTCCAGATCCAAGTGTTCCAATGTGCAGTTGAGCACTAATGATGCCCAAGCCATTTTGTAAATAGTTAATTCCTTGTTTTTGTTTTCTCATATGTAATTTTATTAAAACTTTTAAGCGAGACAATAAAAGCTAACCCAAACTAAAAAAGTAAGAAAGAAAAAAGAAATTAAAGAAAAAGCAGAAACTGAGAAAACGGAAAAATTAAGGAAACTAGAAAAGAAAGAACAAAGTGTAAGGAAATGGCTTTGATACAGTATTCTTCACAGTAGTAAGTACAAATATATTTTAACCTCTTTCTAAAATTACATATTACTCTTATTTCTATAATCTAACCTAATCATAAAAACCATGTCGAGTTCAGTTTTTCATTTTTATGCAAAAAAATGCATAAAAGCTTCCAAGAGCTTCCAGTCAGCAATAAATGCCTTTTCCCTAATCAAAATTAATTTATTGTCAGCAAAATCTGTCAATTTCACCAGCCATTCCTCCATAATGGGTAGTATTGAATGTTTCCATCTCTGTGCATGCAGTATTTTCACTGATGTGATCATACATTGAAATAATTTTCCATGGCTTTTTTCTAATTGTTTATCCTAAAAGGAAAAGTTCTGGCTTCATCTGAACATTAATCTTTCAGATCATCTGTATCGAAGTATGTATTTGGATCCATTTTTTTAAAAAATGTGCTTGTTGCTTTTATTATGCATAACCTTATTTTTAAGCTATTTGGGATCCCCTAGAAGGGACACCAATTCTTGTGTTAGTCACTAGTTTCCCTGCTACACCTAACTTTATACAGTAAAAAGATGCAAAATCAGAAGTTTTCTGCTGCACAAAAGGAGTCTTTTACCTATACTTCTAGTACTCCTTCAGTATTATAGAATCCTTTTAGAAAATAAGTGAGTGCAGCTTAATGCTTTATTCGGAGTGTTCACATCATGGACAAAGATAAGAAGGGATAGTACAGTATAGAACTGGAGCAGATGAAGGCAGTATTACATAATTCCTCCAAACTTTCTAAAATATGCAGAGTAGAATCCAGAACTTGCTACAGGTGATCCTCAATTTACAACCACAATTGAGTCCTCGATCAGAATTTATCTTGCTAAGCAAGGCAGTTATTAAGTGACTCCTATGGTTGTTAAGTCACTTCAACTTTCCCCATTTACTTTGCTTAGTGGAAGCCAGCTAGGAAAATAGCAAATGGCAATCATGTGACCCTAGGATGCTATAACCATCACAAATACCTGTTGCTTGCCAAGCACCTGAATTCTTATCATCTGACAATGGGGATGCCAGTAGTTGGATGAAGACCAGTTGTAAGTCACCTTTTTTGCTGTTGTAACTTTGAACAATCGCTAAATGAATGGTAATAAGCAAAGACTTCCTGTTTTCCTCAGAGCCCAAAAATAAACCAGTGCAATGTTGGTGCTTCACAAGTCTAATGTACGACTAAGTAACAGGTTATATTCTGATTAGTAATCATAATCATGGCCTACTTATTTAGGTTTTATACACCTAGAGAAATAAGCAGTGTCTCATGGGCTTTGATATGTCACTTAGGTGAGATGGACGGTGTAGAAATTTAAAAAATAAAATAAAAATATGTTAAAACCCTTTCCATTGCAGATTTCTATTAGAATGAAGTTTATTCAAAGTTTAATAATTGGTGTGCAACCTATTCTTTAAAATCTAATATACCTATATACTATAATCAGTGTCAGAGAAGTAGCATGTATGGATAGAAGCTTAAATATTTCTCTAAAACACTAACCTAGGGATCTTCTGAATATATTTACAGCCAGACCTTTCAACAAAACTGCAGTTTAATTTCAGAAAGTGTTAAAATATATTGTACATCAACTTCTGACATACTACTACGTTAGTATACACAAATGGTCTCTTGAAACTGTATTTATGAAATGTACATTTTAATTTAAATACTCAGTATACACTGCACTTAATCTGCATGTTGCATTTATTAAATACATTAAAATCTGCAATGTAACAAAACGTTTTCTGCATACGAAATTCAAAACACCATTTTAAATGAACAAAAGATGGCTCACTTCATTTTTTAAAACTAGTGCATAACACACCAGCTTAGCTCCACCACACTAGCTGTTCTTTCTTTTTTTAAATTTGACATTGTTCACAGACTATTACATATCACAATAAGAGTGCTGGATAAAACATGAGGTACGAAAGTGGTTCAAAGATTATAGGTCATGCAGATCCATGCTAGACAGCAAAGAAAAATGTGAATGAGAACACTAAATAAAAATACATAAAGAATGTGCATTATAAAATAAAAACTCAATTACACAGCTTTGCTTCTTTGGTTACAAAGTAGGTTGAACAATTTCACAGCTTTTTATTCCCACCCACCCACCCCAAAAAATCATACGAAATGTCAAAAAGCAGAGGAATCATGGCAATTTTTCTATTAGAAAGTAGAAACAGAAATGAGCAAAGTTTTCTTCATCAAAATAGCCCATCAATTATTATATCACAATGACTGGCGACTACCTGTACAGATGCACTATGGTCTTCATACTTACACTATACAAAAATTTACATTCAAGCTGGATCTTAACTACTGAAAATAAATACCAAAAGGTAAATTGCCATTAGTGTTAGAAATAGGCCAGGATTCTTTTGTTCAATTATTGCCTAAACATTTTTTTCTATTAAACTCAATCCTGTCTATCAAGTTTTACTGATACTTACATTTATTTTTTTAAAAAATTAAAAGTTCTGTGACATTGTTCATGTACATTATGAATAGCAGCCCTGTAATAAATAAAACAAATAAATGAAACTAATGTAGGCAAATGTTACTTGTCATTGAAAGAACAGTGGCTCTAAAGATGAGTTGTTACTATTTGAAAATGCAAGGCTCGAAGTAATCCATGAGTAATGGAAACCTTGAAGAGCCTTACTAAAGCTCTTAAAGACCTCCACTCATGTGCATCAAACAAATGCAGATTTTTGCATTATAACTCCTTCTACATTTTCCCTTGTGCACTGATGGCATAATTGGACACCAACTGTGTTGTATGACATCTCAGTGAGGGAAAGCGCTTGCAGAATGATTGTCTAATACTGAAAAGGCCAAAACACACAACTGAAGCATGGCTACCTGCTTTCATATAAAGTGGAAAGAAGACCAGTGGCACACAAGGACAGATTGCTTTCAGTTCTTAATGAGGCAAGAAAGCTTTATGCTGAGGAGACATTCGGCTGCTGTGGAGGTTGCGCTGGCTGTGGAGGCTGTGCTATCACTGTTTGCTGTTGAGAAGTGCTACTTGGATTGGCCTGTTGGGTTGAAAGTTGTGATAACTGATCATTGTTTGAAAGAGATTTTAACAGTGCATTTTCCCGTTCAAGTAAAGAGTTTCTTTCAACTAATTCTTTTATTTGTTCCTTCAGTACTTCCACTTCTTCTCTGACTGCATACATCAAATGGCTTTTCACCAGATCCTGTAAAGGCAAATCAAATAATTAGAAAACTCCACATCAAGCTGTTATTTAACTCCAAATACTTGCATAAAACTCCACTATGAGCTTAAATAAGTAAAATAAAAATATCAAAATATCTTAAACTACACATATACACATATCACTTATGAATAATACTGCTAAATATATAAAGTAAAATAGTTAAGGAAAAAATAGTTAAGGAAAAAACAAACTGTAAACTAGCTACATATTATACTAAATATTTTACTCAAAAGGAATCATAGCTCATGACTGGGATAGAATCCATAGTGAGAAGTTACGATATCTCTGAAAACATAAGCCTATGCATTTTGCTAATAGTTAATGTCTCCATGGATATGAATGGAAACTCTTCATTGAGTCTTGATCTGAATTAAATTCCTCAGGTTTACTTTTGAAGAAATGAAAATAATAAATTAATGTTATATATGTAGCATAAGTTGCTGGCTTTTTACAGGTGGTCCACAGGTCACTTAGCAACTGTTCAAAGTTACAATATAACTTTTTTAAATTTAGCAACATGCAGATAATTACAATAGGAAGAAGAATAAAATTTAAAGTACAGTGGAAAATCAGGTTCCGACCAACAATTTTTGAATCGGGCTATGATTCAAAAATCAGGTGGTGAACAAACCCGGCCGTGGCAGATTCCCTTTCCATGCGGATTTCCCCTTCCGCGCATGTGCAGTCCATGAAAATCAGGTTGCAACCATAGTCCTGGAATGGATTACGGTCGCGACCCAAGGTTCCACTGTATATGGATGTCTTTTTAAGAAAATATGCCATGATTTCAATTAGGCCCTTATTCCATTGGAGCCTATTATTCTTCAGAATGAAAGGTTACTTTGGTTCCTACTACTTTGTAGTGCAAATAGAGAAAAGTATACTATACATCTTTTTATGTATTTATTTTCCGTACAACCTGGCTGTCAAGAGAAACATTTAATTTTTTGTATTTTATATAAATATAATTACTAAAGAGCTGACTAACAAATGAAAGAATTTAGCCTCTGAAGATTTAGCTGGTGCAGAATGCAGCAGCCCAGACCAATTAATGGCATTGGTTTTTCAGCACATGTGACACTACTAGTTTCCAGTGTGCTTCCAGGTGCAATTCAAGGTGTTGATATTTACCTTTAAGGCCTTATGAAGTGGGACTGAGCTATTTATTGTCTCTTCCCAATTGTTTCTACTTGTCTCACCAAGTCTGGCAGGAGGGAAATGCTCTAGGAGTGTCATCGGCTAATCAGTGAGAGCTGGAATGGCCCAGGAAGAGATCATTTTCTGCTATGGTGCAAGTGGAACAATCACTTGAGTTAGTTGTGACATTGCTAGCCTTTCATAAAGTCTTAAAACCTTGGTTTTGTGCAAGGTCTGGGCCCGGAAGTGTGATAGAGCCCGTCTCTTGGCTTTGTGGATGGTTATTTTATTAAGTTCAGGTGTCATGTGTTTTTATTTTATATTATATATTTTATTTGTTTTTAACCTTTTCACTGTATGCCATGTATGTCACATATATGAAATGGGTAGCTACATAAACAAATAAATGAAGAAACAATATCCATAATAATTTGAACAGTAACAAATATAATTTATAAGTTCACAAACCAAATAGTTAAATGCATTATATTTTCAAAGTAACTATTGTATTTAAATACAAATAATATCCTTACTAATAATATGACTAACAAATTAAGCAATTTTAGACAGGATTTCAATAGTTTTAACACCACAATGTTTTAGATGACTGCAATAACATTAATTCTGCCACAGAATTTAAACTGTATTTGCCCAGTTAAAATATTCAGAATTTGAATATTAATTATAGAGCAGCAAGTAAGTATTAGAATTGGCAGTTTTATTGCTAAAAGTTCTACAAAAGCTCCAAATTATTTCAGCATTAGTACTATTTTGCTCATCATAGAATTGCTAAAGAATAAAGTGCAGATAGCCAGAAAACTAGAGCAAATCATAATCTGTGCTGTACTATGCTATTCTTTTGTGATTATTGTTCTTTAACTATGAAGAATTTAGGACAGATAAAAAATTCTAAAACATATAGCTATAGCTAAAACATATACACTATATGATCAACATTGTAGGCAAAATAAAATTGACTGGCAGATAAGTTTAATAAATAAATAAATAAATAAATAAGTTCCTTACTTACCATTGCCTGTTCTATTTTGTTATCAATGGCTACAACACTCCCACCAGATGCACTGTTTAAAAGAAAAGTCACATGTGAGCTTTGAGTTCACTGAAATGCTGTTCAGCAAAAGTGATGGAAAAGCAAAGACTTCCATTATAGTTCCACAAGTCAGCACTTTTACAGCACTTTGCATTCAATGTTCTTCTATATTTTAGTGATCATTACAAACCTCTAAGATTGGCAAGTATTAATTCCATATGCTCAGGAATGAGGAAGTGTGGTATCTTCAAATCATAGGCATTGTATCCCAGAGAAAGTGAGACATATTTAGATCTCATCAAAATCAATGGGAACTGAGAATATTAATATTTTCAATAGAACGTAGACATAACTAGTTCATGATAGTTTGGGCCCAAGATATTTATGCCAGTTTCTGGCCCTTGTTGAAACTGAGCACAGACCTCCTGAGAGTATAAGAAAAGAAATACTGCCCTCATCCTATTGGCTGTTATGAGCTCCCATATTTGAGCACATTAATATGCAACTGAAATAGTTCATAATCATAACCAAGTCAACCACTGTGTGTTTGAAAGTGACATTTTGATCAGTATAGAAATATTAAAAGCACCTTAGTGGCAAAAAATAAGCCAATTCTTTTACAATAAAATGACATAAAACTGATTGTTGGGAGAGTTCCACTTCATTGTAGAATACCCACAAAAGATAGTTGGCTTGATTACCATGGTCCAACACTTTAGCCTTTGGTTCATGCTGTACTTTTGGAGGTACTTCCATACCATCATTTCAAGCAGACATTTTACACTATACAAGAACCCAGTTTCAGTTCTAGCAAGTGCTAATTATGTTTATGTTATCCTGTGCCATGCTGATCAAAATGTCATCTCCACATAGTTTAGATTTTTAATACATTTAATAACTTTACTACAGAAAAAAACCAACTGTATTTGGCATATTTTTCAGCAAAGTATTCTGCATTCACTACTAGAAAGTTACATCTATTTTTCATTTTTTTAATCTATTATTGACGAGGGAACTTAATTTACATGTAATTATTCATGTTTTTATAATCCAGCATAAAAATAAGACAAATTCAGTGCTTTCAACTGTATATTAAAAAAACTTCCTTCCATACTGATTTCATTTTAAATTATTATTATAATAAATGACTTTAAATAAACAATATATAGTGCAAAATCTACCAAAATTTTAGGATCTCCATAGTTTATTTTAATAAGAAAAATAATCTGCATTAGTATATAACTTCAAGTATTAATACTTTGTTCTTTTGTATATGTATGTATACTACAATGTTTCCTATGACAAAGTATTGGCATTATTAAACAAGAACAATAACCACTGTAATAATTAAAACACTCCATAAATAAATGAAATTATCCTCAAAAGATTTGACTTTTCCTGACTTTCTTCACTGTATTAGTAAGAGCATTGTCAAATTGTGATTAATCAGGTTTCTGGGAGCTGTTGCTGAGTTGTGAGTTGGCACATATGAAAATTAATTCCATTCCCCCTCCCCCCCAAAAAGTTTAAGAAATATTAAAAAAACATCGGACTGCTAAAACAATGTATCTAAAACAGAAATATACAATTGTGCTTTTTATTTATGCTTGCTAAAAATTTGTGTAATCACCTCCAAATTTCTCAGGTCCATAAGAAACATACAGCACATAAAGATAAATGATATAAGACTGATATGATTAAAACATCAGTAAGAACTTTCATCACAGTATATTTAATACTTGAATAACTTTTTTTGTTCTTTCTCTGAGTGAGTACAGCTGCTCTGCATGAATCTACACAAATACTAAATATAAATGTTCAACATGAAAAGGTATGTCAATTAACATGCATTCCATACAGACAGGAATATAGCAATTCCAATTTAATTTTCACCACTAGGATAGTACATGAAAATAATTACCAACATTACTTTATTGTAAACTTATTTTCCATTGTTTCTCCCTTTCTATCATATGTAGTATTTAAATTTTCTCTATTTATACTGCAATTGGGATCCACCTCAAAATTCCTTGGTGAAACAGAATAGAAATGTACTATATATTCATTATTTAACAGCATAAATTAAAATGAAATATATCAGCCTTCATTTAAGATTCTTGTTAAAATGTGGACTTTTAGCAAGTTTTTCAAAACAGGCATGAAAGCAAAATGTTCATTTTATTTCTGTCAAAAACAATCAATAATGGAAACATATTTTACAATTAAGAGGTTTTCACTCACTCCTTTAAAAAGGAAATGCTTAATATTTTATGTTGGTAAGTATTTATAAAGCAGTCATCATTCTAACTTTACACTTGTACAACATCCAAAAAAATATCTTTAATTTTTAAGGTTCTTTCATTTCATTCTTTCATTTTTATTACTAAAAAGCAATAGTTGGTGCATTTAATCAAGTGCAGATTTTACAAATCTATAATACGTGAAACATATTTGTAAATGCCCTTTTCAGGTTGTTTTTGATGGTTGCATTAAAACATTACTTAGGAATATAGGAATATAACTGCATTTACTTATGTTATGAAATATTAATATGCAGTATTTTAAAATGGACCAAGTATAGTCCTATTAAACTTTTGGGAATCAGGTAGCATTCTGGACCGCATGCATTGTTTTGTGAAGGTTCTACTCTTTATTAAGTATGTGATTCTAATCAGTTTCTAGTCAGTAGTTATGCGAGATAAGTAATTGAGCCCTTGACTTCTCTATTTTGGGATGGTACAAGATTCAGTTTTCCCCCTTGCCATTTAACATCTATATAAAACTAACTAAAATAAACCATGTTTTAGTTTGGGATAAGAGCTGATCAAGCTCTTGATGATGCCTGGTTATACATAAACCAAGCCAGAGATGCAGTTGGGGGGGGGGGGGAATCTTTATCTGATACCTGGGTGTTTTGAAGGATTAGATCAGTGGTAATCAACCTGGTCCCTACTGCCCACTAGTGGGCGTTCCAGTTTTCATGGGGGGCGGTAAGGGTTTTGTCCCCTACTTTATAAATCACCATTACTGTGAAACTGGTGGGCGGTTAGAGAAATCTTTACTAAAGATACAAAAGTGGGAGCTAGGTATAAAAAGGTTGATTACTCCTGGATTAGATGATGAAAAATAATCTGAGATGATGATTCCTACAAAGCCTAGGATAGGATTACACTCCCTGTGGAAAACTGTTATATGAACCTGCTGGGAGATATTGTGCATCAGTTTGGGGTGAAATATCAATATGCTGATAAATATACATTGACATCCCTCACTGAGTTAGGTATGCTGCAGTAATCCTGACATAGAGCTTGAAGGTAATAATTGAAGATTTGGATATCAAGATCAGAGTAGATTCTTGCAACACCATACTGCAGCTTGTCACTGCTAGATTTGACTCTCCCTCAGCTGGATAGCTCTTGATTAAGGTCACACTCCCTCTAAAGGAGCATGCCTACAACTGGGGAGGGGATTCAGCTCCTCTGAAACTGCAGGTAAAAGGCATAGCCAAACTATCTTTTGCTCAGTGTTGATTGATGTGCCAAGTATTGTCCTTTATGAATCAAGATTTTTTCCCAACAGTGGCTTATAAATTAACCTTTAGGTTTAATCACTGCAAGGCATTATATTGGGGGCTTTCTTTGAAGAACACTGGGAAACTAAAATTGGTTTGTAAAGCACCTGCCACCTGTTTTGTGATGCACACTGGTTAACAATAGCATTCAAACTGCTGATGCTTATATATAAAGCCATACATGGCTTCGCTCTCAATAACCTTTGGAATCATATCTTCCTAAGAAAAAATTTACAGCTAAGGGGGCTGGAGCCAGAAGACCCACTTTTTCTTTCAGCTGCCTCTTAATATCAGATTCATGCTTTCCCTCTTGAATTTCAGAGAATCATTTAAAGCAATCTTATTCTGTTGGTGTTTAGGAGGCCTGGTCTAGTTTGCAGTTTTATACTAGTTTACACATATATTCAAAAATTGGTTGCTTAAAATGATTATTTTTAATTGTACTTTTTGTCTCTTTTTATGTTATTTTTTCTTAAAAATTGCATGTGGCCATAAACTGGTATAATAAACAACCAATATAGGGAGATATATTCTTCAGAGATAGGAGGGAGAGAGTGCAGGTAAAATAGTCACACTTCTTAAGCCCACTTAGAATAGTTGTGACTCTTACATGATATTAGGCAAGAATTCTTCCAATATTTTAAGGGCTTATACATTTAAATTATTCAGTGGCATTGTATTACTTCCTGTGCTATTTATTCCATAGTTTGGTATTTTCTATTGTAACTTAACATTTGCATGGAGAAATCTAATATTGTAAAATATTCATTGCACTTTTAACACATACTTAATTTGTGCATTTGTTTTACTGTGGACTACAGAAAGCATAAATTTCTATCTAAAAAATGAAATTCACTTCAGTGTCTGTACTCCAGCCATTCTTCCCCCCCACCCGCTCTTTTTTTCTTATATAAGGTCATAAGTATTTTTTGAGGCCACTTATAGAACTTACAAAGGAGTGGAATTTAAATGTTGTAACACACTGTATATGTGGACACACAAGAGCATATATTTTACAACATATTTCTATCATCTAGGAAAAGAGTAACTCAAATTCAAGACTGACTGGAATAGTGGTGGAATAATGCACACATTTGTAAAGAGTGGAACAAAATAAAAGTGTGCTTTTCTCTCGAAACAATCTCTATATATCACTAAGGAGGGGTGTCCTCAGAATTCAGCTCAGCCTATTGGACGAGACACAGAAGGACCTCCCATGCCTGGATGTTCTGAACAGCTCATCTGGAGAATTGGCTAATTTATTTCTATTGCTGGCTTTCTAAACATGTACTATGACTAATAAACTTCATTAGGACATTTTAACACACACACACACACACTTTTTTTGTTTCACCTTTCAACCATTGCTTAATGAAATGATACATAATCTGAAGCTGGAGAAGCAGAGATATTTTTCATTCCCCCCTCTCACCCCCACAAATTTATCTACCTTCTTTCTA